ATGTCTGAGCTTCACTCTTGAATGTAGTTTTCTTCTTATTTATACTTAAGTTAGTTATATATAGTTAGCAGTTTAACGCTAAGCCATAACTGCAAGTGTTGACCTCGGCCATAATATTTATATATAGAAATATTTCTGTACATAGTAACTCCATAAAGTTACTAACTTTAAAAACTACCAATAAAGATATGAGCAAGGCCTCACCTTAATACCAAAAAAAAAAAAAACAAAACACAATATCTTACTGTCAAACTTTTTACCATCATCAGAAATCTTTACTAATTACAAAACAATATATAATATACTTTCTCCAAAATTATTCAATCTAACTATTTAAAGCTTAAGAAATAACAGAATCCTATTTTTCAAACAAATTACAACAGCAGACAACTTATACTTTCTTTTATGAAATAATATATATTTGTAAACAAAAATACCTACACAAGGCTGTCAACCAACTTGGTTTACACAAATCTTCTCTTCTAACCAAAATTACAATATCACTACAACCTGGCCTCATTTAACTTTTTCTTTTAAAAACTCTTTTATTAACTTAATAAACATTCTTTCTTTTACCTCAACACATATTTTTTTCTACAAAATCTTCTATAATAATAATTAACAAATCTTCTTTTTGCATCAAACCTAGTTCCAACAAACCAACTTCTACCAACTTTATAATCACTTATCTGAATTTATTATGATTACTTTCACCTTATCTTCAATAATTTCAAACTTTCAATCTATTAGTATTCTCTACAATCAACTTAAACTTACTAAAAATCTACTACAAATTGACTTTAATGAAATTCTCTTACTTATTTATATTAACAATCATACATCTCCTCAACTCTTACTTTTTTCTTATCTCTTAATAAACCTAACTTCTTCTGAGATACAATTCATTTAACAAACTGTTAAATCAACTTTATATAAAAATCAATTAATCAAACTTTATTTTTTAATCAGAAACTCTAACTTAGACAATCTAATCTTTTATACTGATGATTCTATTAAAAATTGTCAAACACTAAATATTAAATCAGACATAGGTTGGATTTGTGAAACAACACTAATATAAATTGTAATGCAAGTACAAAATCATATATTAATACTAATCATAAGAACTTGGAGCAGTTTTATCATTTCTTTTAGTTATACTATTAAACATTACTGTTACAATTTATCTCAATAACCAAATAGCAATCAAAAACCTGCAACACATCTCTTTCTTAAAATATTTATATATTAAAAATTGGAATATTATCTCTTTTATCAATTATCTTAAAATTCTTAAAAATCTTAATATATAATTTTTAAAAATTAAATTACATACAAATTCATTTCATAACCAAGCAGACTTCTTAGCCAAATAAGGAACTTTCAAACTCATTCTTGAACTATCATTGCCAATTACTTCAACTAATTTTTTATGAAAGAATTATCTTATATTATTCAAAATTCATAATTTTATTAAAAATACTATTATAATTCAAGAACATTTATTCTATTTTATACTTAAACATTTCCAAAACAGCTTAAAACTTAACTGGACTCTCAACTTTCAAATAATCAAATTCATGAAACATAACATTTAAAAATACTCTTTTCATATCAAAATTCTTACAAACAATCTGTCCACTATGGAAAATCTTAATATATGATATCTTTATCTTTATACAACATCAATATGCTCCCAATGTATAAACTTTGAAAACATATTCTATTTCTTTCTCTGTGCAGACAATAATATTAATATAAACCAAGCAATTCTTAATACAATCCAATTAACACTCACTTTACTTCAAATATCTAATAGTTTAGTACTTTCTATTTTTAATATTATTACAAACTTTACAACCAACCTTACTAATCCTAATTACCAATCAATCTTATATGCTATATTTAGCACTTTTTCTATAACAACCTATAATAATATCTAAGTTTTTTTAAACAAACAAACAAATATCTTTTTGATTAATCTTGCCAACAATCTCCTTATCTGGTACTATCAAGACTTATAGTTTATATACAACATATCTCAACATCAATAGAAACTTGCTTAAAATATAATCACTAAAACTAAATATACAAAAATTTATTTCTTAACAATATCTATTTCTATTAACAATTTCTCAAGAACTATACAAATTTTTAACACTACACCTGCTATTAACAAATGACTTTTATAAAAATTTACTCTAACCATATGCTTTATATAATATTTTAACTCTCATTTAAGATTTCTTTCAACTTATTCTAGCTAGAAAATAATTTGAAACAATTATCTATAACACTCATTAGAAAATAAGAGATGTAATGTCACATTAGATATCTTTTTTAGCAATACAAATGTAGTTTAGAAATCTTTATTTTAGGAATTTTTTTTTGTAATTAAATTTCTTATTGTATTTTAAAGTTTCTACTATGATATTATATAAATAAATAAAAAAAAAAAAAAAGAAAGGATACTCTTTTGATAAAAAAAAATTAGGTAATAAATAATACTGATCTTATTCATATTAACAAACTTTCTGTTATTTTACTATTATTCAGCTGTTATACTGCTATTATGCTGTCATTATTTGGCAAATATAAAGTAAAATAATAATAGTTTTTTTTGTTATTTACCTATTATTCATTCTTTATTTATTTATTTAATCTGTACCAATTACAGTATCAAGTAATATTATTTGAATTCTTTTTTTTTTTTTTTAATATTAAAAGTAAATACTTGCAACTCAGATTTTTATTGATAGTATGTTTCAGCTTTGTAATTGTATTATTACAACAGTCACAAGAAGTAACTATAGGAAGAGTATATAACTAGCTACTTGATAACTTTAATTATTATTTAATTTAAGTAATCCATTTAAAAGTTCTACACTAGTTATTATACCTAGAACCTGCTTGTAGTTCCTTTATTTAAACACTCTAGTTCCTGTATTCACCTACTTACCTACTTTATCAACTGCTTCAGTTTTTACTAATATATATTTACCATAGTTACTGGGTCTTTAAAGTAGTTTATTTATATAAAGAATCTTTAAACTTGTATTAAAACTACTAAAGCCTTCTGTTATTTAATTTTTAACTAAACTAGTATTGTTATAATCAAGACCAACACTTGTAGTCAGAATAATCTTTAAATTATTACACCTTTGTAGAGTTTATACAACCTCAGTACTTTCTTTTACAATCTCACTAGTATTTTGTATGACTTTGCAAGTTCTCTTATACTATCAATCTAGTTAGTTTTGTATGATATAACTTCATATTTGGTTCAACTAGTAACCAGATTGGTGAACCTCTTTAACTAGAGTTCTTGATTGTACAGGTTATCTGCCTTAGGTTTTTATCTTCAAATCAAGATTTTTATAAATGATACGATTGAAAATTGTACTGCCTTTCTACTTGAAATTTTCAAACAAGACTTCTTATAAAATATATATTTTTCGAATTTATTTATATGACATTGCATACTTCCAAAGTTAGTCTTGATACAACCAGAATTATAAAGTTACAATTTCAGATACTCTATACAAGTTGCCAAAATAGAAACATTTTTCAAATTTTCTATCACTAGTAAGATTTGAACTCTGGATTTACTACTTAAAGAATAACAACTCAACCACTATACTAGGATTGTCATCCTTTTATTTGAATTCTTTTTTTTTAAATATTAACAGTAAGGTTATGCCTTTAACTTTATTGAAATTCAATTGAAGTTTTTACAAAGAAAAACTTGCTTTTAAATTACATATGAAGAATAAAAACTTAGACATATAATCTGTGACCTAAACCTATTTATTAAAGTTCTTACTACTTTCACTAACTAAAAAGATATATAAAAAATATCTTTTTCTTGTTAATTTTAAGTTTCTATATTTTAACTTAAACACTATTATCTTATATTCTAACTTGTAAATATAATATTTCCTTTCTAAAGTAATTCTTATAAGCAAGATTGTTTTTATGTGTTTGTTAATCAAGTTTAATTTATATACTGTTACTATTTTAAATTATTTGTTTGCTATTGTGTAATAAAGTAAACTACTATATACATCTTGTATATATTTGCAATAACTAATTACTATATCAGATGACCTTGTTATTTAGTTGTATTGTACCAAAATTTATTTTTTCTTTAAGCATTTCTCTTTTCTTTTTTATTTCTTGTTATTTGTTTTTTTTACATTATCTTTTATTTATGTAATGCATTTCTATCCAATAAAAATTTTTGCTTCTTTATAAAAGATGAGCAACTGGTCTGATGTAACATTGAGTAACCAAAAGATGATAATGTTAATAATTATTTGTAAGAATCACCAAAAAAATAACAAAAGCACTAAAAGAATAACAAACCGAAAAAAAGTTTAGTTGATCATGAAAACACATGGAAGGAAAGATTTTTTGTAAGAGATCGAGCTTCCGAAAAAGGTAAAAAAATCTTTAATTTATTGTGTAACGATCTACAAAATCGGGCCTCCTACCTCGAGATTTTGAATATGAAAGCAGATGCCATCATGGGAATTATGATTTTAAATTTCTGTGGCTCTAGCCAATTAAGGTAAAAGAGAGAACTTTGCATATGAGCGAAATTCTTAAATACTATTTGTTCGAGAACAAGAAAACGAGGAAAGAAAAAAATAACAATGTCAAAACCTACGAACCGCAGACCCCTTAGGTGATTTTTCAATTATGTATAATTTCGACCAAATTCTCGGTAACCGAATACCTTGATTGTACTGAGTATGAGGATTTGAAATTCTGATCAGAGTTACTTGATTTGTGCGTATGTTTATTTACCTGTCCAAACTAATGCAGGGTATGGGTGGACGGCTGCTTCGATTTGATGCACTATGGTCATGCTAATGCTTTGCGTCAGGTAGTTTATTTCTAAAAATTCTTTCTCACCTGCCGACATAAGTTAACCGGATTTTATTCTCTAATTGTAAAGGCGAAAGCCATGGGTGATTATCTAGTTGTTGGAGTTCATTCTGACGCTGAGATTGAAAAACACAAAGGACCAACTGTCATGAGAGAGGACGAAAGGTAATATTCTGGTAACTGCAAGTTAATCTATTCAGCAACTAATGCAGCTTCATACCCCTATTAGATATGCGGCAGTTGCTGCTTGCAAATGGGTTGACCATGTTGTTCCAAACGCACCATACTTTACAAGCCTCGAAGTAATGGATAGTTATTCTTGCGACTTTTGTGTGCACGGTGATGATATCACCACGCTCTGTGATGGGACAGATTGTTACCAAGCTGTAAAAGACGCTGGTCGTTACCGCGAATGTAAACGTACACAGGGCATTTCCACTACAGAACTTGTAGGGCGTATGTTACTTATGACGCGTGACCATCACAAACGTAAATCTTCTATTGCGTCTGTCAATAATGAAGATTTGAGCACCTTCAGTAGTAGTGCATCTAAGCAAAGTCCCGAGACGAAAATTTCACATTTTTTGCCGACATCGAAAAGGATAGTACAGTTTTCTGAAGGTAAAGAACCGAACTCCGGAGACAAAGTTATTTATGTTGACGGTACCTTTGATCTGTTCCACGTCGGACATATCGAATTTTTAAAGAGAGCAAAGGCTCTAGGTGATTATCTCTTAGTCGGCGTTCATGACGATCAGGTGATTTTAAAGGGTTGAATGTATATTATCGCACTCCATGAGTTTTATTAATAACCTTATGTTATTATTTTTATTGCAACAGACCGTTAATGCTATCAAAGGATCAAACTATCCATTAATGAACCTTCATGAACGCGTATTAAGTGTTCTAGCATGTCGTGTGAGTCTTATCTTGCAAATTAACTTCCTAATTTTACATTTTAAATTTAATTTCTTATGTATCATAGTACGTTGATGAGGTAATAATCGGTGCTCCATACAGTGTTGATGATGATGTATTATCCCAGGTTTACAGAGTAGACATTGTTGCTCACGGAAACACTCCTTCATTACCTGACATTAATAACAAAGATCCATATGAGGTGATTGTTTGGTTTAATTTTATGGCATTAATTATATATGGACTAATATATGTTTATTTTGTTAGGTTCCTAAAAAAAAAGGAATTTATGTTGAAATAGAAAACCCCTCCGCGGAACTGACTACTGCTGGCATCATTGATAGGATAATTGAACATCGTCTCAGGTTTGGAATAATGCATGGTAAATTAATCTTTAATTTTTCATTTAAATTATTAATTGTTCATTATTAGATACGAAGAACGTCAAGCTAGGAAAAATGAAAAAGCCAAATTGGAAGAAGAGAAATTGAAAGGAGATAAACTGAATCAAAATTTGACTTAATTCATTTTTAATATGTATTTTCGACTATCAAATCTTTTAATAAATTATTTATTATATCAGATATAATATTTGTTATAAACCGATAAAATCAAAATTAAATGATTTATATACGTTTATGAAAAATAGCCGGGTATGAACAAAAACCTGCAACATACATAGTGTCCAGGATTATGCTATTAGCATAATTTAGCATAATTCAAAGTTGTTAGCATTATTATGCTACGTAGCAGCAAAATTTAGCATAATTTACACCTGCTAGCATAAAATTTGAGTACTTTTGAAAATATATAAAATATTACCAAAAATTATAATTCAAGCACCATAGGAAGACTTTCGTATGATTGGCTGTTTAAACCAATTTATTTTACATTTTTATACAGTTTAAGGTACTTTTTTTTAAAAAAAAACTACGAAGAATAAACAAAAAGAGGATATTGAAAGTTTTATTAGGGTTGTAGGACTTCTTTATTGGTTTCAAAGTTAGAATGGTAATAACCTAATTCTGTCTATCTTTAAGAAGTCGCTATTATGCTAACTTCTCTAAAACCAGAAATGATTTTGATTATTTTTAATGGTTGAGTCCTACAACTTTAATAAAATTTTTTATATGCTTCTTTCGTAGTTAAAAAAGGAGACGTCTAAAGCGGAGTAGATTCTTTATATTTTATTGAATTAACTTTAGGGTTAGGGCCATTCTTATTAGGGATGTTAATCGGTCCTCAGGGATCGAGTCCCAACCGATCCTGACCGATCCTTAAAAGGATTTGTGAGGATTCGATCCCTAAATCACATGATAGCTCATTATGAACCAGATCCTGGGACCCGGTCCCTTTTATAAATCCTAGGACCCGCTTTCGTTAGATGTTAGAAGAGATTTTTGACAAAAAACGCTTGCCTTGCAAGTGTTTTTTTTTTTTGAAGGCGTATGCCTCTAGTGTTGAAGTAATTTACAATCCCAATTCAATATATAACTAAGAATTAAGTTAATAATAGGTAACCATCTCCGGATTCAAATATATAATTAGAGGTAAGCAAACTTATAAAAGTTTAATTATTGAGTATTCAATGACAAAAGAAGGTACCATCTCCCTTGCTAGTGACAAAGATTTTAGTGAACTCCCTAAAAAACTTATTTATCTTTAGCTTTGAATATGAAGGTGAATTAAGTTTGTTTAAATTCTTTAGTATGAACAATCAAAAGAATATAATTACACTTGTTAACTATTTCTGGATTTGAATATATAATAAAGGTGAATTAAGCTTATTAAAGTTAAATCATTTAATATTAAATAATTAAAGTATCTTACACTTATTGGTCATCTTTGTATTAAAATAGCTTATATGAACAAAAATTTAGTTAATAATAAAGGCAAGACATTATTTATCTAATAATAAAAGTGTTTGTTTAAAATAAATCATTCTGTTTTGATAGTAATAAAGATGAAAATTGTTGTCATTAGTAAAAGTAACATAGTATTTTACTTGTAAATCACAAAAACCATTTATGTTTTAAAACAAACTATCCTATTTAATAGAATAATAACAGTACATTTTAAAAAAACTAACCATTTTTCAAACAGAATTGTTAATAAAGATGATATCATCTCAGTAAACAAAAAATTGTATAATTTAACAATGTGTTGTAAAAGTTATTTAAAGTTTTCTGTTTTCTTCTAAAAAAAAAAAAAAAAATAGAAACAAATGAATTTGAATCTATTAATAAATCTGAAATTACTAAAACAAATCAATTTGGATTTAAATTTATTAATAAAGAAACTTTTAGTAATGAAACTTTTATAAGTGATAAATTCACATCCTTGTCCCTAGAAATACAAATGAACTATCAAAAAAAGTCTTATCTACATATAACCAAACATCTGTCTATGATTATCTTTTACTAACCTCTGATTAAGGTAAAAGATGTAAATTATATAAACAAACATTTGGCAACTTGACCATAATATCGACTATTAATTGACATTTTCAAAATTTTCATTCCTCAGAATTTACTAAAATCAAACAACATAGATTTTGATAACTTGATCCTTATAGTTCAAATGAAAAATATAAAGTAGATATTTTAAATAATAAATTCTTAAGATAGGTAATTGTTGACCAATAATCATTTTTATTAGTTGAAAATCCAGAATTTATTAATTTTTTACAAGAACTTGATTCTTGTTACAAACTTTTATATTGCCAAATGCTCTTGACTTAGGTTAGTCAAGAGTATATTAAAAATAAAAATAAAATAAAATTGTTTTTAAATACAATTTTATCTAAAATTTTAATTACAATGGATAGTTGAACTTTGTATACTTAACAATCATACATTAGCATAACAGTGCACTAGATCGATCCTAAATAAAAAATGCATTATATATTATTAGATATTATTCTATTTAATTATACCTATATAGCAATAAATCAAAATGATATAATTATTGAACTCTTAAAAGAAATGAACATTAGTCACAAACTTTTGGGGATCATGACAGACAATATCACAAACATGATTACAATAGAACATGTTTTAAAAAAAAAAATGTATGAGTTTAATAATAAAACTCTACAATATTTTCATTATAGTACACACATTCTTAATATTATTATTGAAGAAGAATCAATTAGTAATGAAATTTCCAAAACATAAGAGTTCTCTATAAAGCTTCGAAACTCTTTATTACTAATTTGAGAGTTAAAACAAATTTTTGAACTAAAAAAAACTTTTATTTTTAATGTCTGAAACTGATATGAATACTAGATAGAATAGTATGTTTATTATGCTAGAGAAACTTCAATGAATCTGCCCTATTACTAATATTCTTGTAGTAGGCAACCAAACATTAAAACTGATTTATTCTAATGAGCAAGAATAATAATTTATTGTTATTAATAATTTTAAATTAATTTTTATTTTTTAAATATGTTTTATTTAATAAAAATATGAATTACAGAACCAGTTAATTCTTCTTAAAACTATATATCATGCAACTGTAATATTATCTTTATCAACAGTTCCTATCTAAGGTGACTTGCATATGATATTCTGTGATCTTATTATATACTTGAATAATAATGAAAACCTAATGATTAATACACAACATGCTATAACTCATGTAATGAGAATAAAATTTATATTGTATTGGACCTACTTAAATGAATTATCAGCAATTTTAAGTCTTTTTGATCTATATAACAAACTTTCGATCTATGAAATTAGTAAATATGAGCAAGCTATTAATTAGCTTCATAAAATGTACAAAAGTTATAAACCAACTAAAAAAAATAAATTATCATCACCATTACTATCATCTACTACCACTACTACTAAATTAATACAGGAACTTTTTTACAACCTTACAAACTGTCTTAAATCAATTTGAACTAGTGTGAAATAAACAAATACTTAAACAAAACTGAGACTAAAGCAGATTCACTCTTATAGTGAAAAGTGAATTCTAAATAATTTCCAACTCTCTCTCAGGTTGCAATGAACTTTTTTGCTATACAAACCATGAGCATACCAAGTAAACAGGTCTTCTCTATTGCAAAACATACAATAAGTCTTACTCAAAATCATATAAATCCTAAAGTAACATGTGCATTACTATGTTTGAAAAACTAATATAAGAAGCTAAATGAAATATTAAATGAAGAGATAAGTAATATTAATGTTTAAGAAATAATAAGGAATGAAAACTCTTTCTGCAAATCCTTTACACAAATCTTAACTAAAAATTAGTCTGTACAAAAACGTTTATAACTATTTATTTTATTAAGTTAACTTGCATTTGGCTCTTAAGTAAACTTGTTCAGTACTAAATTTTACATTTATCCTGAAAGTTTCAAGTTTTTAGGATTTAAACTCGTTAAGAAAAATGTACTAACGGCTTTTGGCCTTCAGAATTTACAATTTCATTTAATACACAAAAGTTATTGTTACAACTTACTTTACACTCTTAAGTAAAAGTGTAGAGCACACTTTTCTGGTCAAAACGAACTCTAGACAAAGATTTTTGACCAAATATTGACTAAATTAAAGTCAAATTTATTTTTACTCTCTTGTAAAAATTCCTTTTCTATTTTTTATCCTTACCTTGGTCTGCTTATCCTTACACGTTTTTCGTGTAACATCAGATTATTTCTTAATTTATATTTAATTAAATTTACATTAAATTTACTAATATATCCTTAAATAGAACCTTATTTAACACACAATCTATTCTTTTCTATATTTGGTTCTAATTAA